AGCACCCCCCAGGAGGGATGGTCATGCCGCAATCCCTTCTCCTCCATGCTCCGCTCGGGATCTTGGGCACGCACGCACACGCGCCCGGCGTGAGTTTTAAGCCACCGGGTCCGGGACGTGAACAGTGGTCGACTACGTGGGAGTCCAGCGACATAGCCATTACAGCTCCCGCCATGCTCTACTTTTAATTCGTTTGCCAAAGTTAGTGTTTAGAAAGATAATCTGTTCATGATTTCTATGCATGCTTAAAACAATATACCCTCATATATATATTTGAGAATATGTATCTATAATCTCGTGGGTAACATGCTGTGTCTCACTTCTTTGGTGTTCATTCATTCGTTCAGTCTGTCACTTGAGAAGTTTTTTTAGCACCTGTTAAATGCCACCGCACATTGCAGTTGCTGGAAATGCAGTGATGAAAAGATAAAGTTCGTATACCAAAAGAACTTACCTTGTAATTGACTAAGTCTCATGAGGGAGCAGAGTGTTTCAGAAAAAACAATTTTCCAGATGTCTGAAACTTACTTGTTTTTATTTCAATTATTTTCAGTATCCATCTTTCTAAATGGTATTATGGCATTTCCTGCCACCTTGAACAAAAATGTACAAAATCAAATTTAACCATTTTATGACAACTCAATATTGTCATTTCAAAAGTTCTAGGTAATGCCTTTGGGGAAGGTAAGTCCTGGTTCTGCATCAAGGTGTAAGAATGATTCACTCATCTTCCCTGTGTTGGTTCTCACTGGCCCTGGGAAAACTGAATTGATTAATCATAGAGCAAGCTATGGCTACAGTGACCAGATCCCAGGGCCCATTGCTTAAAAGGTGATGCATTTTAGCTTAGAACACTTGTGCTGAGTTGTGATTTGATAGACATGGAACGAACAAAGACAGACACACTGCCTCCAACTTGGATACCAAGAAGATGAACTGTTGTAAATTAGAATCATGCTTGATAAGATTCCAGGGAACATTAGGCTTGCAAGAAGTGGGGAAGTGTGGTGCCAAGGAAAGCCGCCATCATTGCCAGCTTTGCCTTAGAGCCAAGTCTGTGATAGATGTGTGTGTTCTAGTTGCTGAAAAAATATCAACTAAATGAATGGTTGCAGTTTCTAGCATTTCTGCTCTAGCCATGCAGTAGCAGAGAAGAGAAGGGGTATGGTGATGGAGAACCTGTGTTCTCACCACAGGGTATGCAGCTTCTGTCTGGCATTTATTTAGTATTCATGGTATGCAAGGGAACTTGCTTAGGCAACTTACATTTTAAAAGAGGAAAGAAAGTCACATAGAATTACAGGGCTGGGTGCTGTCTGAGGTCATCTTGTTCAACCTATTTCTTTTGGAGACTGGGAATGTCAGAGATTTATTGAAATGAAAAGATATTTCTTAGGTTATGGTTATCCAGCTTAAGACAGTAGAAGTAGGACTAGAATCCCTATTTCTGCTTGCTTTTTCCATTTCACCATAACTCCAACTGTGCTTCTTTTAGGGAAAGGGGTAGTTACATTATACTGGTGAAGGGCTATTACAGTCATGTGTTGCTTAATGACAGGAATATGTTCTGAGAAATGTATTGTTAGGCGATTGTGTCATTGCACAAATATTATAGAGCTTTGTACTTAGAAAAATTTTTTAAGTATGGTGAAGGGCTATTACAGTCATGTGTTGCTTAATGACAGGAATATGTTCTGAGAAATGTATTGTTAGGCGATTGTGTCATTGCACAAATATTATAGAGCTTTGTACTTAGAAAAATCTAGGTAGTATATTCTACTAGACATTTGGGCTGTATGGCCTGTTACAATCTTGCGGGACCCATGTGATCCATTGTTGACCAAAGGTTGTTACGTGGTACGATTATATTGAGGATGGGTCTTACAGGTCATTAATGAAAAGATTGTGAGACAGAATAAAAACATTATTCTCCACATTTATGTTGATCTAAAGCTATCCCCAGAAATCTCTCCCAACAAAGTAGAAATTGCTAGAAGAACATTTTGGGTAAGGCTTGGCTATTAAAATTTTCATTGTCAGAATATTATTTGAGGAACCAGCAGTTAGCATAATGGCTATGTTTCTGGACTCCCATGTAGTCAACTGCAGTTCAAGTCCTGGACCCGGTGACTTAAACTCACACCGGGTGCGTGTGCGTGCGTGCCCAAGATCCCGAGAGGAGAATGGAGGAGAAGGGATTGCGACGTGGCCATCCCCCCTGGGGAGTGATGTCTTGCTTTCTGTCTCTCTGCATTTCTGGTGAGCGCACGTGCCCTATAGCAAAAACCTCTCCAGAAAAAAGAATATTATTTGAGAGCCAAGAAATAACATGGGTGGCCAGTTTTGAAGTTAATTTTTTCCATGTGATGAAAGTAATTTTCCTTATTAACCTTTTGTTATTTATGATCTTTGTAGGTTGGCAGCCTCGCTGGTTTGTTTTAGATAATGGAATCCTATCCTACTATGATTCACAGGATGATGTTTGCAAAGGGAGCAAAGGGAGTATAAAGATGGCAGTTTGTGAAATTAAAGGTAAGTGAATTATGGAATTAGCTGAATTTGACATCAGGTAATGAAGGGTTCTTCAGCATACTAAAAATGAGGAAAACAACATTTCTAACCATGTAGGAATCTTTTTGTTTTTTTAAATTTCTTTTTAGTTGGCCAGAGAGTATGTGTGCTTGCCAAAGAGAGGGACAGAGGAGTGGGCAAAGGAGACAGAATCCCCCAAATTGAGGTCATGCCTCAATTCCTTTTCTTCCATTTCTCCATCCTTTCAGGATTTAAGGCGTGCAGGCACATGTACACAACATGTTTATCAAACCGCTGGGTCTGGGACTCGTACTGCAGTCAGCCATGTGGGATCTGGTTCCCTTAACCATCAGGCCATGAAACCAGCCTAGAATCTTCTTATAATATCATTTATTTCCTTGACATTAACAAGTGGCATTTAGCATTGTTAAATTCAGTTTTTATAGTTTTCCCTTTACAAAGAAGCTGAGTTCTAAAGATGATGGGGCCAGATCTGTAAGATTTTGATAAAATATGAAGTCAGGGTCACAAACTGGTTCTTTGGTGAATTTGGAAATAAGCTCTTACAGGTGATAGAGATGGTTTTCTTTTCTTCCAAAAGGAGAGAAATAAAACAATAGATTATGTTGTAATTTTCATGAAGGAAGTTTCATGAACATTGTTTCTTTTGCATATGTGATTGGTGTGTGGGGGATGGACGTAGGTAGAATGATGTGAGAAAAAATGATAATAAAAAGTATTACATTCTTCTTCAAAGAGAATTGAACGGAAAAGTAGAATACTAGAGGAATGAATGTTAAACTCCCTCCAGGCTGTTCTTATTTCTGCTCTGTAACTTGAACACTTGTCCTTTGTGAAGCGTAGTTTTTTTGACATTGTGAATTCTTGGTCATAGCTACCAAATATCCCCAAGTCATTTCACTGTTCCATGTATTTTCTTTTTTAGGTTAAACCAGAGCAGCAGCTAATGTGCTGTGCTACATTTTCCAGGGCTGGATTGCTACTTTCATGTGCTTTTGTGGTAGTTCTTAATAAGACTGAGCCATGGATACAAGATAATTTTTGCATTGAATGCATATTCTTCAGCTCTATGTCTGATTCTGCACCTTCATTTCAGATTTGCTACCACAAGGGCCCTTTCTATAGCAGTCATTCTCTATGAAGTAGATTAGTGTTATCCAGGGAGCTTTATTCAAACTGCATATGCCTGTCCAGGTGAATATATTATGTTCCCTTTAGTAGAGAATCACTACGGTTTTAATGGAAGAGACTTGTGCCTGTATAAGATATAAAAACACCAGCTTGCTGTATTGGTCCTTACACGTTCTCTGAAATATGCAGTGTGTAATTGTGCTTATTTTAAATAAATACACTGACATGTACTGGTTTCAGTATATAACTTTTCATATATTCGTTTTTGGGGTCTGTGTACTCATTTCAACCATACACTATCACCTATAACATTTCATTTCAAATCTTCTCTTTTAGAATATCCTTGTGAACCACTTTACAAATTGCACAGCTTGTACAAAGCACATTTAGGGGCCAGCAGCTGGTGTGGTGGTTAAGGCACTGGACTCCCACATAGTTGACCATGGTTCAAGTCCCGGACCTGGTTGCTTGCTTTCTCACTTTCCCTCTCTCTGTCTCTCTATGGTCAAATTAAAAAGTAATTATTATAAATAAATAATTCTTGATTAAAAAGCACAAAGTACTAGGTTTTCTTTTTTAATAACTTTATTTATTTATTTAAATTTGACCAGAGAGAGAGAGAATGAGAGTGAAGGGGAGAGAGAGAGAGAGAGAAAGCAAGCCACCCGGTTGGGGACTCAAACCATAGTCGGCCATGTGGAAGTCCAGTGCCCTTAACCATTATGCCACCTGCCAATCCCCAAAGCATTTGTTTTTTGTTTTTGTTTTTGTTTTTATTAAGTGGTGGTTTTGGACTGGCCTCATAGCATAGTGATTGGATACTGAACATGGGGAGCTGGATTCCACATGACTGACTGTAGTTCATTTCCAACCCTTGTGGCTTGAAAAACTTTCTGGTTTATGTGTGTGTGCATGCTGAAAAACCTGATGGGATGGAAACATGGAGGAAAAGGATTGTAGTGTGCCTATTCCCCCATTGCGGGGTGGGGTGGTGGGGTGGTGGTGTTGTACTTTCTCTGGTGAATATACACACCCTATGGCAATTAAAGCAAAAGAGGTTTATTATTCCCAGGTTTGAGTCCAAATCAGATTTTGTCAGAAATGAAAACTATATTTAAAGTTCAAAGATATGCCAGCCCTGAAGGTATCTAAAAGATGGATGTAAAATTCCAAGGCCATTCTAAAACTTTCAAGCCATAGCAGCATCTTTATTTTGTTGTTGTTCATTTAAAGTAATCATTTTATCACAGAATAACATCTATTCACTAGTATTAGCAATTAGCAAAAAAGAGTTCATCTTATAGCTTTGGGATTTCAATAATTTTATCCTAGTCTAGAAATCTGTTTCACTCTATTAATCATTGCATAATTATCTTTTTCAGTATTTACATATAAGAATGGCCCGTATAAGTAGCCTAATAATATAACCAGGCTTTGGGGCCAGCAAGCCCATATAGGCTAAAGTGCTGAACACCCACATGGCCAACTGCGGTTCCAGTCCCAGATCTGGTGGCTTGAAACTCACACCAGGCACATATGCATGTGTGCATGCCCAAAATCCCAAGAGGAGAATGTAAGAGAAGGGATTGCAGTATGGCCATCCCCCCGGGAGGTGATTTCTCACTTTGCTTCTCACTGTCTCTGCGGCTCTCATGAATGAACTTGCCCTACGGCAAAAGCTAAAAAGAAAAGAAAAGCAGATAACCAGGCTTCTGTGGCACTTATTTATTGTAATACACTGAGCGTCTGGTCAGTATTTTCAGTAATTAATAATCTATTATTAGGTCTTGTACACAATTTCTGAGTCCCTCATAATTTAACCCCACTCAGCTTTTCCATTCTTGAATGTGAATATTACTTTGCAGTACCATACAAGGTTCCGTTTAAACTTGTTCCTGATGGCCCCAGTGCAGTCCGTGTTTATGTCTTCACCTAGGCTTGTTCTTATGTAGCTTTCCTCTTCACCAAAACCTGCTGTCATCAAATCCTTCTTCTTGAAGGCTTTTTTATTTTTTGTGTCTCCTTGCCTTTCTTTCATAATTACGTATACAATATGTGAACCAAAAAGTTCAACATTTAAGTGTTTCGATTATTATTGCCATGAGTTTGTTTCCTCCTTTTTTCCTGTGTTTTACTTTCTTTTCCCTTTACCAGCACTGCTCTGAGCTGGGTAAATGTTCGTTGATGAATGACAGTGTAACAGATTTTGTCTTACAACAAAGACTTGGGATTGACTTAGCATAATTCTTCTCTCTCTCTCTTTCTTTTTTTCTTTTCTTTTTTTTTTTTTTTAGTTTGCTATAGGGTATGTGCACTTGCTGAGAAGAGACAGAGAGAAAAATCACCCCTCAGGAGCGATGGCCATGCCACAGTGCTTTCTCCTCTTTCATTTTTAGGCATGCGTGCACACTGCCCAGTGTGTTTTTCTAGCCAGTGTGTCCAGGACTTGAACCATGCAGTCAGCCATGTGAGATCCAGTTGTCTTAACCAACCACACATTCTAACTGTCCTGGTTTAGCATAATTATTGATAAGTTCTCTTTTGTCTGAGAATCAACGGTGTATGTAGGAGAATAGTGGAAGGAAGGAAAGAGGCAAAGGTCTTCAAAATGCACATGCTTCCCAGCTGATTATGACATGCCTCATAATTTTGAGCATATTAGCATATTATAGAACTACTTTTTAATGGAAGGTAGCCATTGTTACCCTTTTTTACATATGCCATGTGCTGTCCTAGGCTAGACAGATACCAAAACATAGGCTCTGCTTTCAAAGGAATTAGTAAAAATGTGTTACAAGTGTGACATTCATTGAATGTGTATTTAAGGTGGTATGGGTGGCCCTCACAGAGGGTCTCACTTCTCACTTCTTGGTAGTTAACTTATGCCTCTCTTCTCTTTCATGCGTTGCCATCTCTTTGGCAGCATGTCACCCAGGGTCTGTGCGAGAATGGTGGCACCCTTCAAACTATCTGTTGTGAATCATGGTTTGTTGTTTTAAACACATGAGTATCTAATACTATACAAGAGTGATGATTGGATCTCCCCAGATTACTTAACTCTATAACCGTATTTCCCTTTCGTCATAGTCCACTCAGCAGACAACACAAGAATGGAATTGATCATTCCGGGAGAGCAGCATTTCTACATGAAGGCAGTGAATGCAGCTGAAAGACAGAGGTGGCTGGTGGCTCTGGGTAGTTCCAAAGCATGTTTGACTGATACTAGGACTAAAAAAGAAAAAGGTACCTCACATTTTTCCCTTGTAGTGAGAGTACTTTCTTAATCATAAATATAAATTGTCCTGTCTACTTTAAGTAACCTATGACAAGGAAATAATCAGAAATGTAGGAGATTTACATATACAGATTATCATTGTAGTAAAAAATGATGTGAGAAAATGATCGAGGTTAAATCTCATTAAAAAAAGGAGGATTCAAAATTATAGATGTGGGAACCAGCAGTTAGCGTAATGGCTATGTTGCTGGACTCCCACGTAGTCCACCGCGGTTCGCGTCCCGGACCTGGTGGCTTAAAAAACTCACGCCGGGCGCGTGTGCATGCGTGCCCAAGATCCCGAGAGGAGAATGGAGGAGAAGGGATTGCAGCGTGACCATCCCCCCTGGGGGGGTGATTTCTCGCTTTCTGTCTCTATGTCTCTCTCTCTGTCTGTCTGTGGCGAGTGCACACGCCCTATAGTGAAAAACCTCTCCAAAAAAAATTCTAGATGTATTTGTTGACTGGTTTAGGAAAGATAAGTAAGAATTGGTCAAGTTGGGGACCAGCAGTTGGTTTAATGGCTATGTCGCTGGATTCCCATGTAGTCAACTGTGGTCTGAATACCATACAGGGTGGCTCAAACTCATGCCAGGCATGTGTGCATGCGTGCCCAAGATCCTGAGAGGAGAATGGCTATTCCAATGGGGGATGATTTCTCGCTTTCTGTCTCTCTGTCTCTTTCTGGTGAGTGCACGCGCCCTATAGCAAAAACCTCTCAAAAAAAAGAAAATGTTAGTGTTTAACAGGTTCATAATTTCAGCTGTGAAGATGAAAAGGTTTGAGAGATGGATGGTGGTAATTGTTATATAACATTGTGCATGTACTCAGTGCCACTGAACTGTATACTTAAAAACAGTTAAAGTAGTAAATTCTATGTTATATATATTTTATCATAATTAAAGGGAAAGAATGGACTTGAATTTGGACAGAAATTGATGTATTGATCGATTGGGCAAGGGGGATTGCTTTGTTCCATTCTGGTGAAAGTAGCTTTGTGGCCATTGGCCTATCTCAAGATATGTGGAGAAGCTCCAGAATCTGGGATGTATTTTTTTCCTTTCTCTGAAGTTTTAAGGGTATTGGCTCATGAATGGCTGAGATTATGGCTTGTTGTTTAATTTGACTAGCAATAGTAAGGAGAGGAAAGCAAGCTTATAAATTAAAATGAAAAATTGTTACTATTGTTTAAAAGAATTATTTTATTCAACTTTATTTATGTATTTATTTTTAATTTAACCATAGAGGGACAGAGTGAGAGAGAGAGAGAAAGAGAGGGAAAGCGAAGAAGTGAGCCACCAGTTTCTGGTCTTGAACCTTGGTTGTCCATGTGAAAGTCTAGTGCCCTTAACTACCATGCCACCTGTGGGCCCCTATTATTATTATTATTATTATTATTATTATTATTTTATTTGGTCAGAGAGAGACAGAGAGAAAGAGGGAAAATGAGAAAGCAAGTCTCCAGATCCAGGATTCTAACTGCAGCCAGCCATGTGGGAGTCCAGTGCCCCAGCCACCATAAATTAAAATTCTGAAAACTATATAATGTAAAAATGAAGCTGTGAAAGGTACAGAAAAAAAAAGTGTTTATATATACTGGTGGTTTAAAAAAATTATTTAATTTTATTTTTTATTATTACTTTTTTTTAATTTGCTGTAGGGCACATGTACTTACCAGAATGAAACGGGGAGTGTGGGGATGGGGAGACAGAAAAAGAGAAATTGAGAAAGCAAGCTACTAGGTCTGGGATTCAAACTGCAGTTAGCTATGTGGGAGTCCAGCGCCCTAACCACTACGCCACCTATATAATAGTTTTAATTACATAAAAATAAAAATCTTCTTTATATCAGAATATACAGTAAAGAAAACTGAGAGGGAATCAACAGATATGAAAAAGTATTTGTAATGTATAAAACAGATGAAAGGTTACTATCTTTAGTGCATAAGAGCCTATTTCTAAGGTCTCATGTCTCTTAAGCTGTAGATATTTATATTTCTTGTGTTAGTTTTGAAATAATTATATTTTGTTGCATAGTGCAAAGAATATGAAACTGATCTTATGTTTCTTTCAGAAATAAGTGAAACTAGTGAATCTCTGAAAACCAAAATGTCTGAACTTCGCCTCTACTGTGACCTCCTAATGCAGCAGGTTCATACTATCCAGGAATTTGTTCACCATGATGAGAATCATTCACCTCCCAGCATAGAGGTACAACACGAAGAGGAACCCTTCACATCTGGTTAGGCCTTGTCGTAAGCTGGGCTGGGGCCTTAGTCATTCTGTCAGATGGCAGAGAAGCATTTTCACAGTAAATTTTCAGCTCTTCTGGGCTCTCCATCTTGTAGACTGTCTGTAACATCTTCTAAGTTATGTCTGTATAGCCAGAGTAAAGTACAAAGCAACACATTTCTCCAGAGTATTAAGGCCTATTTTTGCAGCCACCCTGATCATTTGTAGGTTAGGTGGGGAAATAGTGTCCCAGGCTTCATTGTCCAGGTCAACTACATGAATTTGCTGGACAGCTGCTATTCTTATTGTTTTGAAGAGATCCATCTTCAACTACTGAAAATTGATAACTTTATAAAATTACAAGTAATCCTTTCTTTGTTATAACATCTTTTTGTTCTCATTCATAAAGCTTTTAATATTTTTATTAATCTTTATTTTATACATTCTAATCACTATACAGTATTACTACTTGTAAAGTGAATTTAGCCAACATGAATATACTTCATACCTGTCCAGTTGAATATACCATGTATGTTATCATCAACCCCGATATAATCATCCATTTCTGTGTCCCATAAATGTCTTGCCTCTTTACTTTTCTCCTTGAATCCCTTCCTTTTACTCCTTTTGATAACACAATTCAATATTCACATTAGTAGGATCTGGCTATGAAATAGGCTCACTCTTTCTGGTGAAGTAGGACCAGTTAGTCCCAGTGCTCTCTGGGTGAAAGGCTGGTCTGGTTCCTAGTCCCCATTTTGCCTAACTTGTTAGGAGTGAGACAAGAAATCTTCTTACCACCTGTGGACTTATGCTTGTGTGAGGTAGGCCAAGTTTAGTTTGGGTATATCAAACCCTAAGGGCACTTGAATGGTACCCTTACATTTGTTCCAGCAGCTCAGCGTCAGTATCAGGGAGCTGCTGGGAGGCCAGCATAGAGAGAGATTTTGTCAACTTTGTGTCCTTGCTTTTTGTTCTATTTTATTTTTTTCAAAGACAGGGTTTTGCCATGTTAGAGTCCTCCTGGTAGAAAATGTAGGCATGTGCCACTACACTTGGCTCTTTTTATTTTATTTTTTTTCAGACGAGGTCTCCAATGTTGCCCAGTACAGTTTACCTCAACCTCTCCAAGGTCCTGGGATTATAGCTGCCCACTACCACAACTGGCCTTTAGGTCAGGGTGGGAACCAGTCCTGAGCTTCCCAGGTAGTCCCAGCCTATAGAGCAAAGCACCTTAGCAATGTATGTGCCATAGAATCTGGACCAAGTTCTTGGTTTTTAATCAGGAAACAAAAATATCAGTGACTCCCAGCATTGTCTTTTTTGTCTGGCTCAAAGGAACAAAACAATGAATATTTGGTAAAGGATCACGGAATAGCCAATCAGTCTATGTTTATCTCCCAGGGAGATAACACTTTGCTGTCGGAACAAAATGGGGATTTTATTCACCCAGGAAGAAGTCGTAGAATGGGTGTAGGGTAGACATGAATTGTGCTGCTGCTGAGTGACTCTGTGTCACCTTTACAATTCTGATAAAAAAATGACCATTTTGTTTAGGCTTCTTTAAGATAAATTTTTGTACACAGTGTTTCACAATGTTATGTGAATTAAGTGGAAACTTTTTTTTTGAATCTATATGTTCTTTACCTAAGATATAACGCATTCCTTATTCACCCATTGCTTAAATTTTCTAAGGGAGTGTATTTTAAATAAATTAGAATGTAACCTAGTAATGTGTTCCATTATGTGATTGTAAGTTTTTGTATGTTTCCACATAGTTGCGTGCAAGTCTGATTAAGTCTTTTGCGTGTGATTTTGCAGAACATGAATGAAGCCTCTTCTCTACTCAGTGCCACATGTAATACATTCATCACAACGCTTGAAGAATGTGTGAAGATAGCGAATGCCAAGTTTAAACCTGAGATGTTTCAGCTGCCCCACCCAGATCCCTTAGTTTCTCCTGTGTCACCTTCTCCTGTTCAAATGGTAGGAACTCCTTGTTTTTCTAATAGTGATACTGTATGTGTTTTTGTTTTTGTTTTTGTTTTTAAGGGTGCAAACAGGCATTGTGAGAGAAATAGTCCACAGGTTGAATTTTTTTTGTTTCTTATATTGTGTTGGAGTTTCTTAACTGACGGGCTCAGCATGTGTGCCAGTGTCCTGAACCCTCCTGCTGGGAGGGACTACAAGGCCTGTCTATAGAGTGCTTCATCCATTTATCTCAGAGTACTAGGAAAATACTACAGTGCACTGTGTGTGTGCTACAGTACAGGAAAGGTTGGGAGCCACTGTTCTACTTGTTTAAAACTTCACGTGGGGTGATGCTTTACTTGAAATTAAGCAGATCTTTCAAGGGGTTGTAAAAGATCTTAAACATATTCCAGGGGAAATAGTATTTTGTAGTCAGCATTTGGATTCATACCTTCAAGCAGTCAAGTTACTTAATCTTTTTGGTCCTCAGTTTTTAATCTGTAAATGAAAGTGTCTTCTTCATCAGTGGTCACTGCTCAAGATCTGACATGCTTAATGTTAGGTACTTAATGTTAGTTTCTTACTTCCTGATTACTCTGAACAAGTACTCTTTTTGCTGGGGATGGTGGATTCATTGTTCTTTCTAAGCTAATAAATTATCTGTAGGATGCTGTGGGGAACTAGTGTGTAGGTGAGATAAAACTTGATGAGACTTAAACTTTTTTTCATGAGAATGTTTTTAGGAGCCCACTTGTAGGTGGAAGAAATATAGCTATGTAGCAATGACCTGAAATCTTGTTGTTAGAAGGACAGGGTCCACCTTATTTTTAGATTCTCTTACCCACTCCAGCAAATTTAGTTATGTGAAATTTAGTAATTATTATTTGTCTAAACTTATTTAAAGCATTGCTTTTTAATCACTGATGGACTGATAGTATACTCTAAGAAAGGTATACTATGAAAATGAGTTTTATGGCAGATTAATTAGGAATGTCTTGGTTAACTGAATGAATTGGGTTTCTCTGTCCTGATTTGGTAGGGAGACTCAGAGTGCTTTAGAGTCTCCTCAGGGTTTTATATGCTGGTGTTTATGAATCTCTGAGAGGTGATGACAGCTCAACCCTATTTTATTTTATTTTTTTAATACCATCTCATGGGAGGATGATGTGAGGTGAAACACAGTTTGACAGTATTTTATGTTTTTAAAAGCATAAGTATGCTATAAATTACTGAATAACATGTACAGTTGAATGAAGAAACCAGTCTTTTGAGATGGATGTGTGTTCCTGGACTAGTAATAGAAGGGGTACTGCGGCCAGTAGGTGATGTGGTGGTTAAGGGGCTGGACTCTCATGAGACCGACTGCAGTTTGATTCCTGGACCTGGCGGCTTGCTTTCTCACTCTCCCTCTATCTCTCTGTGTCTGTGTGGTCAAATTGAAGAAGAATAATAATAAAATTAAGATAAATAATTATTTAAAAAAATACATGGGGTACATGTTAATCTTTGCTTTTGAAGATGTATTTTCCTTTCTCCTCTCAGGATCTTGGGCACACACGCACACGCGACCGGTGTGAGTTTAAGTCTCCGGGTCCGGGACTGAAACCATGGTCGACTACATGGGAGTTCAGTGACATAGCCATTACACTAACTGCTGGTTCCTTCTCCTCCATTCTCCTCTCGGGATCTTGGGCACACATGCATACACGCCTGGCGTTAGTTTAAGCTGCCGGATCCGGGACTTGAACTGTGGTCGACTACATGGGAGTCCAGCGACATAGCCATTACGCTAACTGCTGGTCCCTGGAAAATTGCTTTTAATATGAATAACATGAGTTGTTTACTTATACAAAAACCTGTTTTCCATAGAATTATTTGTTTCATATGAAAATGTATATGTATCAAATATCAAGCTGAAATGTAAGAATCCCAAAGCAGTTTAATCTGATTTTTGTAACCACCTTATAGAGTAGTCTTGCTTTTAACTTTATTTGAAATCATCATGAAAGGTCAGACAGTGGTCATTTTGACCTCCAGAATGAGTGGTTATTGTAATGGGGATGCTGTTGAGTAGTTCCTCTTAAAGGAGATGTTAAAGTCCGCTTGCATCTTAATACTGCTGTCTTCCTTTCTGTTATCTTCTGAAACTTATTTTACTTGACTGCTGTTTTTAGTTTTTTGATAGAGTAGTTGGGTATTCTAAATTATATTCAGTATTTGCCATATTAAATGATCTGCTTAATTAGATTTTTTTAAAATACATGTTTTAGAACCGATTTGAGGCTTAGGTTTCTTCTGAGTTTTTTAAAAAACTTGTTATTAATGTCATCTTCCACAAAAACCAGACTTTGGAACTTCTGTATATCTAGTATCTGAATAATCAAAATGGTAAAGAAAAACTTTATTATCAGACTCTAGTACTGCTTTTTAAAAGAAGACAGACATTCATTAGCATATTTTCTGGTTTGCTAGATATTCCTTTTTATCAAAAAAAAAGTGTGACTTGGATTAGTTATATGCATATACACACATAGATGTGTGTGTGTGTGTGTGTGTCTGTGTGTATACACAATTTCTTTTTTAGTATTGAGAATGGAATCCAGCATGTTTTGGGCATGTTTTGAGAAAGATTCTTGTAAGGAATGGGCCGACCACGTGAGAAAATAGAAATGTAGAGCCTTTATTGGGAATGTTCTTAGGCAATGCTGGCTGGTCCCGATGAGGGGGAAGGGCAGAGAAGTCGTGCTGTATGGAGGGGTTTAGGATTTTTATAAGGGTATAGGGAGGGAGAGTGTCTTAGAGGTAGAAACAGTCCATGTATGGTAATGGTTCAGGGGGAGAGCAGACTACTGTGCCACGTAAGGTCTGCTGACGTGTGCAGAGTAGAGCACCGTGTGCTTCATCCGGGTTAGATCCAAGTGCAGCGCAGGTCTGATGACACACTAGATCCAGGTTGCATCAGCTGACTGTGGAGTGGCGTCCAACCCCTACATCCAAGCTGCCCAGGCTTTTGGCTTAACAATTCCAATTAGTGATTATTAGGGATAAAGCCTGACATTGTGCCAATTATGTTTTTTGAGTCTGTAAAAGATCATTTTTTTCCCCAGGCATATTTTTCTCTGAGTATATTTATGTTAAGTATGATAACATTAGTAAGTTAGAGAACATCATTCTACTTGACATATATACTATGCTAATTTTTTTTTTTTAATTTCTAGATGAAGCGTTCTGTCAGCCATCCTGGTTCTTGCAGTTTGGAGAGGTAAAATAACTGTTTCTTTTGGCCAGTTTCTCAAAATTATACCTACTTGGGGAAATTCTTTTGGGCCTTTAACAAGTGGTGTGAAATATAAACACTCTATGGTAAAGTCTGGTGCTGATTGGCTCAGTATTCTCTCGTATAGTATGAACCTCTTAGTGCATGTTATCAGGGCCTGGCCCCTACAGGTAGTTGGTAAGGAAAAGACAAGTGAATAAATTAAATTAACTAGCAAGGTAAGTACTTTGCCAGCTATTGTGCCTATTTTAAATTTTGGAACTATTGCAGTGATTTTTAAATAGAATTTTGGGTGTTGATATGGCAACCCTCCATAGCGGAGACACACTTTATCTTGTATTTTATAACTCCATATATTCATAATAAGCTGCTGTTTTCTTTTCTTTTTTTTTTTTTTTTTAAACTTTTTGGGAGAGATTTTTTTTCTATGGCATGTGTGCATTCACCAGAGAGAGAAAGTGAGAAATCACCCACGGGGGGATGGCCATGCCTCAGTCCCTTCTTTTCCATTCTGGGCACGCACATGCACCCAGTGTGAGTTTTCAAGCTACCAAGTTCGGGACTGGAACCATGGTTGACCATGTGGGAATCCACCACCTTAACCAGTATACCACTTGCTGGCCCTGAGCTGTTGCCTGAGCTGTTGTTTTTTTTAAGAGAAAAGTATCTTATTGAAAAGAGATAAAAACCACTTGATATTTTAACTTATTAGGTCATCAGAAAAGTCATGATGTATTTTTGCATAGAAAAATATACTATGACTTTTCCGACAGCCAAAATATGTTTGTATCAACATATCTAAAAATTTACCTTCTATCAATGGATAAATCTTGCCAATAACCCAAGTCGTTAAGCTGTTCTTACTTGCTAGGAAATATTCTTTTAAGTTACTATGGGATCTTATTTGGTTCTCTGGGAGGTGATGAGATTAATAGTGACATTAGGTCTTAATTCTCTAGATTGATACTATTGATACTATATTGAAAGTGCTGAGCTCCTGTTTTTGTTTCATAATGTATTACCCTCACTCCAATCCCTCATTGATTATGTAATCTTGATTATGTTCAGAGATATCCAGTAATGTGTATTTCTAACCCTTCCAGGGAATGAAGCATTCCACCAACTGATTTTCCAGAAAAACGGAAATTTAATCAACCTTTGATAAACTTATTTTATGACACGAATTTTCCTAAACTATATTTTTTTTATCCCTTATACATTATGAAATAAGACATAATAAGAACACTAAAAATTTAATTTTTTCCTGATGAATTAAGGTTATCGTTAAGTACAATGATGATGTTGGGCTGTCGTAAAGTAGTAGCTGAAGTGCTGTTAGGTAACATGTTTAATTTTTTAGACTGATTTTTAAAAATTAATGAGAAAGCATGTGCACATGTACATGAGAATAAGAGAGAGAGAGGGAGGGATCAGTAGTTAGCGTAATGACTATTTCGCTGGACTCCAATGTAGTCAAGCGTAGTTCGAGTCCTGGACTCGGTGGCTTAAACTCACGCTGGGCGTGTGTGCATGTGTGCCCAAGATCCCGAGAGGAGAATGGAGAAGGGATTGTGGTGTGGCCATTCCCCTGGGGGGGTGATTTCTCACTTTCTGTCTCTCTGTCTGTCTCTTTCTTCTTGGCGAGTGCATGTGCCCTATAGCAAAAACCTCTTCATAAATAAATAAATAAATATTTTAAAAAGAGAGAAAGAGAGAGGAAATTACCCTCTATAGGATCTGGCCATGCTGTGATCCCCTCTGCCTGTCTCCAGTCCATTATATCTTGGGTACTCACATGCATGTCTGGCATGTTTTAGGCTGGCTGAGCTGGGGATTTGAACTGTGGTCATCTTGTGTAGTCTTGCTTCTTTTGAGGAGTGCATTATTGCTAAGCCACAAAGCCAATACTAGACTAGTTTATGTCCTAGTTTTTGTTGTCTCCCTTTTGCTATTTTCATTTTCTCTTGCTGCTATCAGTGAGTGAACCCCTAGTGTGCTCCCTAAACTTCTTGTCTATCTGCTGCAGGCTACTGGTTTTGAGTATTTTTGCATAGAAAAATATACTATGACTTTTCCGACAGCCAAAATATGTTTGTATCAACATATCTAAAAATTTACCTTCTATCAATGGATAAATCTTGCCAATAACCCAAGTCGTTAAGCTGTTCTTACTTGCTAGGAAATATTCTTTTAAGTTACTATGGGATCTTATTTGGTTCTCTGGGAGGTGATGAGATTAATAGTGACATTAGGTCTTAATTCTCTAGATTGATACTATTGATACTATATTGAAAGTGCTGAGCTCCTGTTTTTGTTTCATAATGTATTACCCTCACTCCAATCCCTCATTGATTATGTAATCTTGATTATGTTCAGAGATATCCAGTAATGTGTATTTCTAACCCTTCCAGGGAATGAAGCATTCCACCAACTGATTTTCCAGAAAAACGGAAATTTAATCAACCTTTGATAAACTTATTTTATGACACGAATTTTCCTAAACTATATTTTTTTTATCCCTTATACATTATGAAATAAGACATAATAAGAACACTAAAAATTTAATTTTTTCCTGATGAATTAAGGTTATCGTTAAGTACAATGATGATGTTGGGCTGTCGTAAAGTAGTAGCTGAAGTGCTGTTAGGTAACATGTTTAATTTTTTAGACTGATTTTTAAAAATTAATGAGAAAGCATGTGCACATGTACATGAGAATAAGAGAGAGAGAGGGAGGGATCAGTAGTTAGCGTAATGACTATTTCGCTGGACTCCAATGTAGTCAAGCGTAGTTCGAGTCCTGGACTCGGTGGCTTAAACTCACGCTGGGCGTGTGTGCATGTGTGCCCAAGATCCCGAGAGGAGAATGGAGAAGGGATTGTGGTGTGGCCATTCCCCTGGGGGGGTGATTTCTCACTTTCTGTCTCTCTGTCTGTCTCTTTCTTCTTGGCGAGTGCATGTGCCCTATAGCAAAAACCTCTTCATAAATAAATAAATAAATATTTTAAAAAGAGAGAAAGAGAGAGGAAATTACCCTCTATAGGATCTGGCCATGCTGTGATCCCCTCTGCCTGTCTCCAGTCCATTATATCTTGGGTACTCACATGCATGTCTGGCATGTTTTAGGCTGGCTGAGCTGGGGATTTGAACTGTGGTCATCTTGTGTAGTCTTGCTTCTTTTGAGGAGTGCATTATTGCTAAGCCACAAAGCCAATACTAGACTAGTTTATGTCCTAGTTTTTGTTGTCTCCCTTTTGCTATTTTCATTTTCTCTTGCTGCTATCAGTGAGTGAACCCCTAGTGTGCTCCCTAAACTTCTTGTCTATCTGCTGCAGGCTACTGGTTTTGATCAAATACAGATTGACTTTATATACATTCACTTATGAAATCTGTAACTTTTAGTCTTCCAACATTTGTAAACCACTTGACATGTATGCTATAGACCTTCCCCATAGCAAAGTCTCACTTCTTCATTGTACCATCGTTCCATTTAGTTCAGCTCAGAAGTCATATTATCTAGGTTCAGTTAGATTCTATCAGTAAATGAGTTAACTTGGTTGCAGCTTGACTTCTGAATAAGTAGAATGTACAACTGTACAGAGAACTTATACAAGGCAGATCTTTTTGTAACTGTGCAACCCACCCTTGTCCTAGTATCTGTCTGAATATTTGAACAGGGTCATTTTTGCTGTTGAAAGCTTCTAATTACAAGTTTGATTAGACATTGACAAAATTCAGTTGTTACAATTAGAGCTGCTGTAGCTGTTCCTTAACAACATAAAATAAAGTGAGTCAGCAGTATGTGAGCTGTATTTTAGGTTGGTGGCAATCAGTTAGGACATGTGTAATATCCTCTACTTGGTCTGTAGCTGTGACTGTGGTATATAGGCAAAGCAAAAATTAAACGTCAACAAAACTTAGAAAATAATGCAAGTATATATTAGAATATATACTTTTGTATTTTTTTTAAGAGAGATTTTTGCTATAGGGCACTTGTGCTCGCCAGAGACAGAGACAGAGAGACAGAAAGTGAGAAATCACCACCTAGGGAGGATGGGCATTCTTCTCACAGGATTTTGGGCATACATACACATGTATCCAGCATGAGTGTAAGCTGCCTGGTCTAGGACTCAAACCACAGTCGACTACATGGAAGTCCAGGAATGTAAATATTACATCATTTGCTGGTCCCTACTTGTGTTTTTTTTTTTTTTTTTTTAAGAGGCTTTTGCTATAGGGCGCGTGCGCTCATTGGAAAGACAGAGAGATAGAAAACGAGAAATCACCTCCCAGGGGAGATGGCCATGCCACAATCCCTTCTCTTCCATCCTCCTTTGGGGGATCTTGGGCACGCACGCATACACGCCCAGCATGAGTTTAAGCCACTGGGTCCGGGACTCGAACCACAGTCGACTACATGGGTGTTCAGTGACATAGCCATTACGCTAACTGCTGGTCCCCGTACTTGTGTATTTTTATGTAAGGTTATTTGCTGACTGTTGTTGGCCTCTAGTTCATCTGTGCTGTTTAAATTCTAATACATGAATTATTTAGATTGAATTCATGTTCAGGGCCACATTGCTATATGTATTGATTTATAGCCTTGAATGTGAATAATTATTGTAAACTATGTTTTACAAAGTTTTTTTCTGGCTTTACTATATAAATATGCTATTTGGTTAATGATTTAGTCATATAATAATTTAATGAATCTGTTTATACTCTTTATTTCAAATGTTTATGTTTAGACATAGTTACCAGATGATGAATTTTTCTTGTGTGCTTTGTAGTCTTATAAATAAATGCGGGTAGAGTGTAAAAAAAGAAAAAAAAAATCAGTTAAGTTGAGGTGCTTGACTTGTTCAAGGTTTTATAGTTTAATGCTTTTTAATTTAATTTGCAGGAATAGCCACTCTATAAAAGAACCAGTGTCTACACTTCACCGACTTTCCCAGCGACGCCGAAGAACCTACTCAGATACAGACTCTTATAATGATATTCCCCTTGATGATCCAGATAGTAAGTTACATGGGTTCTGTATTTTTCTTTGGCCTACTGAGCAAAGTTGTGTGGAGCTCTGTAATTTCTGGAAGTTACGGGTAGTGACATTGAATGCCATATTTTGTTCTTGGATTAATTCATTTATTCAGAGTTAAGCATACAATATACAATCAAAGGAAGCTGATGTATGCTCTTATAGAGAACTGTGTTATCAATTAAGAAGTGCTGAGGATCGGGACCAGCAGTTGGTGTAATGGCTATGTCGCTGGATCCCATGTAGTTGACCGCAGTTCAAGTCCCGGACCCAGTGGCTTAAACTCAGACCAGGTGCGTGTGCATGTGTGCCCAAGATCCCGAGAGGATAATGGAGGAGAAGGGATTGTGGCATGTCCATCCCCCCTGAGGGGTGATTTCTCTCTTTGTATCTCTCCGTCTGTCTCTGTCTTTCTGGCGAGCACACGCACCTTATAGCAAAAACCTCTCAAAAAAAAAAAAAAAGTGCTGAGGATCACTTTGTATGCATCATATCTCTTATTAAAGGATTGAGAGAGAAAATATCATAATCTTTTTCTTTTTTTGAGAATAATTTATTTACTTTCAGGAGCAGCAGATGGCATAGTGGTTACATCGTTGTACTCCCATGTGGCCAGTCATTATTCGAGTCCTAGACTTGGTAGCTTAAAACTCATACCAGGTGCATGTATATGCATACCCAAAATGCTAGGAGGAGGATGGAGGAGACAGGATTGCAGCATGGCCATCCCACTATAGGGTAATTTCTCACTTTTCCTCTCACTGTGTCTGTCTCTCTCTTTGGTGAATGCATATACCCTCAGGCAAAAATCCTTTTTTAAAAAAAATTATTTATTTAATTTTATTTATTATTGTTGTTATTTTTCAATTTGCTACAGGGCACATGTGCATACCAGAGAGAGACAAAGAGAAAGAGTGAGAGAAACTGAGAAAACAAGCTGTCAAGTCCGTGGGAAGTCTAGCACCTTAACCACTGTGACACCCTCTGTTCCCAGAAGTGTCAGAATCTTTACTACCCATACATTTTAGTGATGTCTTAGTAATCTTTAGTCATTGTTTACGCTCACTACATTTGGATTTAAAAAACAATTTAGAAGAAAATATGCATCTTAGTCCATTATTGTGATGCTTGGAGAAATATTTGAGGCCAAGTGATTTATTAAGAAATAGAGGCTTATTTGACTCGCAGTTCTGGTGGTTGGAAAGCCTGAAAGGGTAAGACTGACATCAGGCTGTCATTACATAGTTGGCAGAAGCAGAGAAGATGGCAGGTGCATGCAGAGATAGAGAGAGAGAGAGCAGCCTGTCTTTTAAAGCAACCTGCTCTAATAAGAACTAACCACTTCTGGTGAGAACTGCCATTCAGTTGAGACACCCATTTATGAAGTGATTGCGGCGTGGCCATCCCCCCTGGGGGGTGATTTCTCTCTTTCTGTCTCTCTGTCTCTCTTTCTGTCTGGCGAGCGCATGTGCCCTATAGCAAAAAAAAACAAAACATGAACATGAATCTTTAGGGACAACCTATTATTCAGACTATAACTGCATGAATTATAGGTTGTACTCTATGAGAAAATAAAGGCAGATCATAAATTATAAAAAAATTTTTACATTATTACTTTTCTTAAAATACCATGGAAATGGTAAAGGAAAATAATTTTGTCTGGTAGTAGTGATGAATTATAATAGCATTCATTTCTGTACCTTTTGTGAGTGGAGATTTTAGGAAGGGTTTTGTGATTTATGTTAAAATTTTTTCTTTTTATTTTTAGAGAGAGTTTTTTTTGAGAGAGTTTTTTTGCTATGGAGTGCCTATGTTCACCAGAGAGACAGAGACAGGGAGAAACAAAGTTGAGAAATCATCCTCGAAGGGGGATGGCCACGCCACAATTGCTTCTCCATTCTCCTCTTGGGATTTTGGGTACACACACCCAGAGTGTTTCTAGCTGCTGGATCGGGTTTCAAAGCCTCATTGACCATGTGGGAGTCCAGCACCTTAACCACTGCACCACTATGCTAACTGCTGGCCCTGGAGAAGAGGTTAAATTGTGTCAGAATATCTAGTTTGACAGTAGTGGCCATGATTTCTGGTGAACACAAAATATAGTCTTACTATTATTTTTTTTTTAAAGATTGTTACCATAGGGTGCATGTACTAGCCAGAGAGAAACAGAGACGGTGGGAGGGA